AGGTATTTTTTATATAATAATTTTTATTTTATAATTTAATATACTTTAAACCGTAAAATAAAGTCTCATATCCAATATTCAATGGTATATCTTTTGGGAAAAAACAAGATTGCAAATGTCATGTATCTGAAGTCACATTTCTAGGGTGTTATTACGTCATAAAAAATATGGTCTCCACCGGGCATCCGCTCTTGGTTTGTCGGGTACGTACTCCAACTTAAGGTTAAGGGAGCAAAACCATTTAGCGTTTTGGAAGATATATAAAAGGCAAAACCATAAGTTAAGCCCATGAACTAACCCCAGAATAGATATTAACCCCCTAGACTTTAATTGATGAAGTTAAGCCCTTGAACTCTGGGATCAAAGCAATTAAACCCATCTTTTTATGCTATTAAGCCCCTAGACTTTAATTTTTAAAATAGATTGCTTAAGAAGAAGGGCTTAATTGCTTTGATCCCAGAGTTCAAGAGCTTAACTGCATCAATTAAAGCTAGGGGCTTAATAGCGATTCTGGACTTAGTTCAGGGGCTTAACTTATGGTTTTGCCTATATAAAATACGCAATGCTCCAGACTCCCTTGGCAATGTAATTTTTCTGGATTTCAACTGTAACACATTAAAAGATGTGTTGGTGTTCGCCATGTTGCTGCAGCCGTTGGTGTGCAAATACGGAAGGGATCACCCCGGCCAACGTCCTCCTCGCCATCTTTGTCCCTCCGCTTGCGATTTACCGAAAGAAGGGCGTCACGGTGTGTTCATTTTTTTCTACCCTGCCTGAGTTAGTGAATTTTAGTTGATAATCCTAGAAAGTTTACTTAACTCTTTATTGCTTCGGTGTACAGACTCATTTCTGGATTAGTCTCTTGCTGACAACTTCAGGACTTGCTCCGGGCAGCATTCACGGGGTTTGGATCATTTGTAACTAGGAGCCCACAAACATGGGTTTGATGTAGCTTGTATGTTTTTCTTTTTTTTTTTTGTTTAATTAATATAGTTTGATTTTTGAATTTTTTAAATATAAATTTTAAATGAAAATTTAACATATTATATAAATAATAATTAAAATTTTTTTAATCAAATAAAAATACTCAAAAAAATTCATATGGAAAGAAAATTTAATTATCTTTTTTATAAATTGTTAAAATTTCATTTGAAATTTATGTTTCAAAAGTTAAAAAAATCAAATTAAATCTACCAAAATGAATTATGGAAGTACATTTTGTAAATGATAATTAAATTATTTTGTTAAATAAAAATACTGTACAAAAATTATATATTAAAAATTTTCAATTATTTTTTATATAAGTTGTTAAATTTTTATTTAAAATTTATATTTAAAAAATTTTAAAATAAAATTTAAACTACTAAATATGAATAGAGAGTATACAATTTTAATTGAGTGATTGATCATTTTTT